TACAGCTCCAAGGCCCCATTTCTGGAGTAAAGTGCCTTCTTTACTCCTCAGTGAGGCCTAAATATAGGTCTGAGTCTCAAATAATCAGTATGATTTTAGAAAGAAACAAAGTAGCCACAATATTCATTCCATTTGGAGACACAATAGAAGAGGAAACAAAATAGAGTGGCCCGGGCCCATAGCTGTGCATTTAGAACAAAAGTAGGAAGTTGATATATAGCAATTCTAATAACAATATAAATCAGCTTTTTAAATTACCTAACTCCCCACTCCTTGCCACAAACATACACACACTGAAAAAAAGGAGAATCTTAGATAAAGAGTCTCCAGAATATACATTCTATGGTACCAGAGAATATTTTTGTTCTCTAGTGTGTGTTCAATACCAAGAACAATGGCTGATATATAGTAACATGTTGAATGAATAAATTGATATTCTTTAATTAAGAAAGACACTTATAAGAATTCTACATGAGTCAAATATATAGAAATTGAGTACCTACAATGATACTCATCCATAGGTAAGTATCAAATCATAGTCATGTTACTACCTCCAAAATAGTTTGAAATCTGAGTTTACCTGATTTTGATCTGGGGGACAAGTTTTCTAAGGGTCTTCAAATAGTTGCAGACTGCTGTCTACCAAAGAGCAGTGATTATCTAAAACACCCAGTACCAATTACCTTTTTGTTTTATAGTTTTATTGAGCTATAATTCAGATATAACAAATTATATTTATTTAAATTGTACAATTTGATAATTTCTGACATATGTATAACTCATGAAAACATCACCACAATCAAGATAGTGAACACATCCATCAAAACCCAAAATTTCTTTGTTCACCTTTGTGAGTTTTCCTTTCTGTTTCCCATGATCCTCCCTTCCCCTGACCTGCTTTTTGTCACCACAGGTTACCCAAACCTAAGGATCAAACAATGGTCAGAATAGTTTATCTTAAAATATAAATTTGGTATGCTTTTGTGTGGATTTCAGTAAAATAAAAATGGACTTTGCAATTGACTTTGTAGGTTAAGAATGACTTCAAACATACTGCTAATATTTAAACAAAGTCTTACTAAACAAGTCATTCAGAGAGTATATGTTATGTTGTAAGGAATTTTCATTGTTGTTTCTGGATTTTCTCTGCTGAGTTTTTAGGATACGAAATATATATGGAATTCAGCTGTGCTATATTTACTACTCAAAAATATAGAATTGCGAAAAGGAAAATATATGAAGAGCAGTAATCATTTGCAAAGACTTTCAATGATATCATAATGAAAAGAGTCTGTTTTTGACGACTTTTTAATTCTAAAACAGCAAAAGAGAGTGAAAGAAAGCCCGGTACCTAGATGAATTTCTTATTTTGCCTTTTTTTTTTTCCAGAAGCTCATATTTTCTGTTTGCGGTTTTCCAAGAAGACAGAACAGTTCCTTAATTTGCAGTTACATGCTGCCTTGTGCTAATGTTTAGTTTCTATAGTTTACTGGGAAAGTGAATTTATTACTTCTGCCCTGTCAAATATTTTTTTTGGCATTAACTTTTGCATGGATTATTCTCACTCAGCAAAGATCATTTTAATCTTTTTTTTATTACTTTTTTACTTGGACTCACCATATTACTGACATGACATGTACATCCACAAATGCTAAAGAATAAAACCTTATGATTGTTTTTTGGATCCATATCTCAAATGAAATTCTCTCCCTGTAGAACCCCTCTGCCTCTGGCCGCATTCTTTCTTGCTTGCATATGTAAAATTATAATCCTATCTATAGAAGCTATGATAGTTGGGGTTTGCAGGGCAGTTTTTTTGTTTTTTTAACAAAGAATAACTGAAATTGAAAAATTAAAACTATCATTCAAACAATTAATTTTTAATGTAGACATCAATTTAAGTATCAATTGAATCTTTATTGAATGTATTGTATGCTGACACCAGACTAGGCTTTGAATAACTCTGCCCTTTGGGAATCCATAACTTATGTGTTTCCCTATCTTGAATGATTTATTAATTTCATCTTGTTTTAATATGACTGTTTTTCTAAAACATATTCATTTCTACTTTGTTCAGACATAAACTATTAGGAAGGTAAAATAAAGCCAACTGTATTGTGTTATTGTATATTTAAAGCACAATGGGTATAAAAATCAATGAAAATTTGAAAATTTTATGAAAGTTAAGTGACCTAAGTGATTCTATTCTCTATAACAAGAGTTTTTTAAAGCTACCTTATAAAATATCAGGGAAGTATAAACCTCTCAAAACATATACTTTATTTTCAACCAGTTATTATAATTGAATATGATATTACTTCCAAAACAATCCAAAATCTGATCTTCACTGATTTTATCTGGGGACAAGTTCAACGAATAAATTCTATTTTCACTCTATAGGTCTTCAAATCATTAAAGACTGTTACCTGACAAAACACAATGATTACCTAGAACCCCTAAAACCAATTACTTTTTTTGTTGTTACAGCTTTATTGAGGTATATTTGACATAAGTAAGCTGCATATATTTAAATTGCATGACTTCATCATATTTTTTGTGTATGTATAACCTGTGAAAGCATCACAAAGAACAAGATAGCAAACATGTCTGTACAACTCAACAATTTCCTTATTTACATTTTGTAATCCCTCTCTCTAACCTTCCTGCCCCTACCTTTTCTAAGATATCAGTGATCTGCTTTTTGTCACTATAGATAAATTTGCATTTTTCTAAAGTTTATGTATAAATGAACTCATATAGTGTATACTTTCTTTTGGTCTGTCTTCTTTTACTTAGCATAACATATTTGAGTTTCATCCAGGGTGTTTCATTTTCTGATATACCATAATTCACTGACCCATTGGATTTATTTATTTGTGGATTGTTTATCCATTTACCATTTTAAATCATTTTTAACTGGAAAGACTATATATTTCAGTAGAAAACAGAGACTTAATAACTCTTATCAAAGAAATACTGAAGTGCTCAGTGTATGCCATAGATCATGATGTATTAGGACACTTTAGCTTAACTTCTAACTACTGCCAAAATAAAAATGACCATATTTTATGATTTCCCAGGATACTAATGGAATCTGCTAGTACTTTAGTTCCCAGGTTTGCTTTTAAAAATTGCATGTGAATTTGTCTCCAGCTTTTAGTGATTAGAGAGTAATAAAACATTGGTTTTATTGGAGAGAATGCTGAGTCACTCTTCTCAGTGCAGTAAACAGATGTGAGAGGTCTGAAAATAGAAGACACGTTTTCACTTATTATTTTTAAAGCCAATTCAGTTTCCTGCTTTTTGATAAAAGTTTGTGATTACACTATTTCTATCAAGATAGTGCACAAAATTGATATATAAAAATTAGTTATGTTTCTGTACACTAATAATGAGTTATGAGAAAGGGAAAATTAAGAAAACAATCCCATTTATACTTACATCAAATGCAACTACAAGCCTCGGTCTCCTCCCAAAAGTTTTTCCTTTATGATTTATCACTCAAGTATGTGTTTTTTAAAACTATAGTTAAAGCTGATTTATGGCCATGTCATTCAGTCTGTAAGCTCTCTTTGCATTTCCCCTACCCCTTTACAATTTAGCTGTTGGAGATCCCCAGTCATGTGACCTGGGTGGTCACACACAGAGACCTGCCCATATTCAGTTTTGCTTATTTGTTTTTGGTGAAACTATAGGTGATACTGTGTTCTTTTTTTTTTTTTTTTAATTTTTTTTTTAATGTTTTATTTATTTCTGAGGGAGAGACAGCATGAGCAGGGGAGGGTCAGAGAGAGAGGGAGACACAGAATCTGAAACAAGCTCCAGGCTCTGAGCTAACTTTCAGCACAGAGCCCGATGCAGGGCTCAAACCCACTAACCATGAGATCATGACCTGAGCTGAAGTCAGATGCTTAACCGACTAAGCCACCTAGGCTCCCTGATACTGTGTTCTTTTATCAGAAATCACATAATGTCTAGTTATCTCTCTTTTTAATGATGTGAGTAACAGTTGATGACTCAAATACCCAGATGTATTAGATCCTTAGGGTATCGCAAAATGGAGATATTTTTGCTGTGTTATATCTTTTTTATTTGTCAGCTGAATACATCCCCTTGTCTACTGTTTGGCTAGTAGTGGCACAGTATACGTGGGAAAAGCAGAATAAATGCTTGATTCTTCACCTTTCTTTATCAGTTTTCAAAATAATGAGTTGACTTCCTTTCATCCTTTAAAAGAGGGCAGTTAATTAATTGTACCATCATGAAGTTATGAATTTAAGTGTATTTGATATGTTTCAATCCATTGCAATTATTATCCTTGTTGAAGTTCATATTATTCCATATCTGCCCAGTGGGATCCTCTTAAAGGCTTCCCAATGCTCTTAACATAACTCTAGATTTGATACCTTTATAGTATATTTGCTTTCTGGAATGACAAGATCATTTAGACTCATCTGGAGGATGGACAGGAACTATGAATTATCCACGTGGATGCTCTGAATCAATGGTTGTAAACCATACCCAGGGGCCAAAAGGAGCCATCAAGCATATTGTCTTTTCTTCCCCCAAAAGAAACAAGTCAGTGACTCAACAATGACAACAACAAAAACAAAATAACTTTTTTTAGCACTTACTATGTGCCAGGTTGTTGAGAATATAATAGTTGCTGAGAATATATGAGTTCATAAGACATAAAACTGCCTTTAAGGAGTTTACAATCTCCTTAAAGTCAAAGCACTACACCATAAGCCAAAAACACTACATTAACTGACCTTATAGGACTCTAGGATGGTGTGAGAGTTCTTAGAAGGGTCCTAACACTGTCAGTTTTATATTCCAGTGTTAAACAACTGCCCAATAATTAACCTTTAATACTGACTTTTTGAGCAGTATAAATTACTTTAATTGGGCATGAAAGAATGGAAAGGAAATTTTGAAAAGCTTACTAGAGTTACAGTAATGGCTATTGAGTAAACTCTCTATGTTTTTATGTTCCCTAGGGTTTTCCAGGAGATATTGGGATTCCTGGACAAAATGGCCCTGAAGGATCTAAGGTAAAAATTTAAAAAAATTATATACACAGTTTTTAATCTCAAATCTCAGCTAATGGGTAAAAGAAGACTTTAAGAATATCAGAATATTTCTGGATATTTTTGAGCTGTCTCAGGTGCATTTGATAAACTTTACATCTTATTTCAAGATAATCAGGAAGTAGTTTTCATGTTTGGTTGTTCTTTTGGTCTTCTGTTATATTTCATTGATCTGTATGTCTGTTTTATGCAAGTACCATACTATTTTGATTATCATAACTTTGTAGTATGGTTTGAAATCAGAGAATTTATTTTTATTTATTTAAATCCAAGTTAGTTAAATATAGTGTAATAATGATTCTAGGAGTAAAATTGAATGATTCATCTCTTATATATAACACCCAATGTTCATCCCAACAAGTGCCCATCACCTATTTAGCCCATCCCCCACCCAACACCCCGTCCAGCAACTCTCAGTTTGTTCTCTGTATTTAAGAGTCTCTTATGGTTTGCCTCCAACAGGGATCGTTTGCCTCCAATGGGTATGCTAAATGAAATAAGTCAGCCAGAGAAAGACACTATACAATTTCACTCATATGTGGAATTTAAGAAACAAAACAGATGAACATAGGGGAAGAGAAGGAAAAATAAGATAAAAAGACAGGGAAATGAGGGAGGTTAGTATCTCCAGCTTTATTCTCCTTTCTCAAGATAGTTTGGATATTCAGCCTCTTCTGTGGTTCCATCAAATTATAGGATTCTTTCTTCTAGTTCTGTGAAATATGCCATTCATCATATATTGGTATTTTGATGGGGATTGCAGTGAATCTGTAGATTGCTTTGAGTAGCATGGAAGTTTTAACAATATTAAGTCTTCCAATCCATGAGCAGAAAAATCTTTTATATAGATTGTCTTTACTTTCTTTCAACAATGTCTTATAGTTTTCCGAGTACAGGTCATTTACTTCCTTGGTTAAATATATTCCTAGGTATTTTATTCTTTTTTATGCAATTATATATGCTTGTGTTTTGTTAATTTCTCTGATAGCTTGTCAGTAGTTTATATAAATGCAATAGATTTCTGTACCTTAATATTGTATCCTGTGATTTATTGAATCCATTTATTAGCTCCAATAGATTTTTGGTAGCATTTGTAGGGTTTGCTATATATAGTATCATGTCATATTCAAATAGTGACAGTTTTACTTCTTCCTTTCCACTGTGGATATATTTATTTCTTTTTCTTACCTGACCTGACCAGGGTTTCTAATACTGTTTTGAGTAAAAGTGGTATGAATGGGCATTTATGCCTTATTCCTGATCTTAAAGGACATCATTCAGCTTTTTACCACTGAGTATGTTAGCTGTGGGTTTGTCATATATGGCCTTTGTTATATTGAGGTATGTTCCTTCTATACTCACTTTGTTGAGAGTTTTTATCATAAATAGATGCTGAATTTTGTTAAATGCTTTTTCTACATCCATTGAGATGATCAGTCTTTGTTTTGGTGATCTAGTGTATTACATGAATTCATTTATGGATGTTAACCATCCTTGCATTCCTTGAATAAATTCTACTGATCATGGTGTATGATTCTTTTAATGTGTTGTTGAATTCAGTTTGCTAATATTTTGTTGAGGATTTTTGCTTCTCTCTTCATTAGTGTTACTGGCCTATAAATTTCTCTTTGGTGTTGTTTCTGTCTGGTTTTGGTATCAGAGAACTACAGGCCTTGTAAAATAAGTTTGGAACTGTTCCTTCCTCTTTATTATTTTGGAATAATTTGAGAAGTGTAGGTACTAACTTTTATTTAAATGTTTTGGTCAAATTCACTGCGTAGCCATTTAGTCCTAGACATTTGTTACTTGGGGAGCTTTTAAATTATTGATTTAATTTTGTCACTTGTAATTCAGTCTATTCACATTTTTGTGTTTATTGGAAGGTTGTGTGTTCCTAGGAATATGTACTTCTTCTAAGTTTTCCAATTTGTTGCCATAGAATTGTGGTAGTCTCTTATGATCCTTTGTATTTTTGTATTGTCAGTTGTAATGTATCCTTTTTTATTCTGATTTTATTTGGGCCCTCACTTCTTTCTTGATGAGTTTTACTAGAGGTTTTTTTTTTTTTAGCCTTTCAAAGAACTAGCTTCTAGTTTCATTGATCTTTTTCATTGTTTTCTCTGTTTTATTTATTTCCACTTTGATCTTTAATATTTCTTTCCTTCTGTTAACTTTGGGTTTTTGTTTTTTTTTTGTTTGTTTGTTTGTTTTGGTTTATTTTCTAGTTCTGTTAGTATAAAGATAGATTGTTTATTTGGGTTTTTCTTGTTTCTCAAGGTAGGCCTATATTGCTATGGACTTCCCTCTCGGAACCACTTTTGCTGTATTCCATAGATTTTGGAAAGTTATTTCTGTTTTCATTTCTCTCAAGATATTTTTTTAGGGGCGCCTGGGTGGCTTAGTCGGTTAAGCGTCCGACTTTCCGACTTTCGCTTAGGTCATGATCTCGCGGTTTGTGGGTTCTCCCCTGCTCACGCTGTCTCTCTCTCCTAGAAATAAATAAAACATTAAAAAAAAAAAGATATTTTTTTATTTCCTCTTTGGTTAATTTGTTAACCCACTGGTGGTCTAGTAGCATGTTGTTTAGTCTCTATGTGTTTGTGTTTTTTCTAGTTTTCTTGTAATTGATTTCTAGTTTTATATTATAGTCTGAAAAGAGGTTTGACATGATTTAAATCTTCCCAAATTTATGAAACTTATTTTTTAGTCTAATAAGTGACTTGTCCTAGAGAATGTTTCACATGCACTTGAAAAGAATGTGTAGTCCACATTCGACATTCCATTTTTGGGATAAAATGTTCTATATATATCTATTTAGTTTATCTGGTCTAATGTGTTTTGTAAGGCCAGTGTTTCCTTATTAATTTTTTGTCTGAGCTATCTATCCATTGATGTGAGTGGTGTATTAAAGTTTCCTGCTATTATTGCATTACTGTCAATTTCTCCCTTTATGTCAGTTAATATTTGCTTTATAAATTTAGGTGCTCCTATGTTGAGTGAATAAATATTTATGAATGTTATATACTTTTCTTGGATTGACCCTTTTATTACTATGTAATTTTATTTACTATGCCATTCTTTTGTTACAGTCTTTGTTTTATTTTTTAAACTTTTTTAAATGTTTATTTTTGAGAGAGAGAGAGAGAAAAAGCACGAGTGGGAGGGGGGCAGAAAGGGGGAGACAGAAGATGCAATGTAGGTTCGGCACTGTGAGCACAGAGCCAACACAGGACTCTAATTAACAAACCATGAGATCAGGACCTGAGCTAAAATCAAGACTTGGCCACTTAAACGACTGAGCTACCCAGGTATACCTACAGTCTTTGTTTTATTTTTTTT